GAAACAAAGTAAACCACACTAGATCTTCTATATCGATGGTTCAACAGAAAAGCTGGGATACAACAGATATAGTAATCTCCACAAGAGTTCCTTGTATTACCCATCCAAATGTGTGTTTTTTTTTTTCTTATGTACTTCTCATGGTAGATGAAATGCTGCATGGTTTGCTTTTTTACATAACTAGTGGTACAGAAATATTAATTATTGTCAAGCTTTACTTGCTTGTGCAAGGAACCATGATATAAAATGTTATAAAGGTTTAAATGCTGTCAATGTTATAACCTTTGCAAAAGGTATGGATCTGAAACTGTGGTTATTTTGTTCCTTAACATATCTTTATTCCAGGCTGGGTTGATTTACACGGTCATGTTACACAATACAAGAAGACAAATTTGTCATTTTCACCTAAGATGATTGTGAGCACATGGTGTCTAATATGGCAAAGTAAACTATAACCACATTGCTTTTTGACATCAGTGCAAAACTTCCATGCATTTTAAATGTATTTAACAGTAATTGAAGTTTCAGTTTATTGCTTTCGTAATAACTATGCAGATTTTTAGAAGTGTAAGAAATTTATTTGTTGGATTTTAGAATATAAGTAGGTATTTCTGTGTTCATGTTTCTGAATGAAATGCCCTAAATATTAGAACAAAGAAGTATAATAGTCTTACCTGGTGAACAGGAAGTATGAATGTGATGTATGGTAAGAAAGTTTGTTATGTGCACACTTTATTGTAGCTAGTGTTATATAATATTTCTTTGTCTCCAATTTAGCCAAAGGATACTATTATGTAATTGGTTACGTTGGCTCTAAATCTAAAGTTACATATTTCATCTAGGCCTTGTTATTACAATATTCGTGGAAGATCACACTTTCTCAGAGTAGTCAATGTTAATGTGTGATTTTTTTTTTTGTTAATAAAAAGGAGATTTTCATGTTTTACATAATGCCCCACAAGAGAAACTTTCACAGTTATGAGATATTCTTATTGCAATTCTCTTTATGCAATTCGGTGTAACAACTTTCAATCTGTTATGTCTCAACTAATGTTTGTTGGGAACTTTGTAAAAATATATCCTAGACAAACCTAAATGTTAAAATTTTAAATTTAATTTGACTGTAAATGTTATTAATTTGTCTTACTTTGTTTCACGAGTTACTGTACCTGGTTCTTGGCTGAATCTTACCGTCATACGTTTCACCATTGAAGCTTCATTAGGATGGGTAATACAAGGAACTCTTGAAGAGCATGACGGTAAGATTCAGCCAACGTTTCACCACTGCAGCCTCGTTAGGATGGGTAATACAAGGAACTCTTGTAGAGCATGACGGTAAGTTTCAGCCAACGTTTCACCACTGCAGCCTCGTTAGGATGGGTAATACAAGGAACTCTTGTAGAGTATGACGATGAGATTCAGCCAATGTTTCACCACTACAGCTTCATTAGGATGGGTAATACAAGGAACTCTTGTAGAGTATGATGGTAAGATTCAGCCAACGTTTCACCACTGCAGCCTCGTTAGGATGGGTAATACAAGGAACTCTTGTAGAGTATGACGGTAAGATTCAGCCAACATTTCACCACTACAGCTTCGTTAGGATGGGTAATACAAGGAACTCTTGTAGAGTATGATGGTAAGATTCAGCCAATGTTTCCCCATTGAAGCTTCGTTAGGATGGGTAATACAAGGAACTCTTGTAGAGTATGATGGTAAGATTCAGCCAATGTTTCACCACTACAGCTTCGTTAGGATGGGTAATACAAGGAACTCTTGTAGAGTATGAT